AAATCTGTGTTAGAACACGTGGATGCTCTAAGGTACAACCATGTGGCAGCAAGACTGACCTACTAGTGTTCAGAACTAAGCATTTTATTGAATTAGGGTCTGAGAGAAATTTTGCTTTTTTCAGTTAAATTATGATAACTTCATACTGAATGCATACTTGTAACAGCGTCAGTGTTACTAGCTTTCAGCCATTTATTTCAAAAATAGAATAGCACTGTGCAGCAGTTTCACAAATGTCCAGGTGACCGAAACCCCTTTTGCAAATTTTTTTTGAAGGAACTTGAATTTAGCACAGTTCCATTAAATGCAATTTCCTGCAAATGCCACATAGCTTTCCGAGCAGTCTTGAAATTTCTACCACAGAAAACAAAACCACCAAACCAAACCCTTTTGGGGTTTGAGTTTTGGGACCCATCCCTTTTACCTCTGAAGTAGGCCTCTGATCTTGTCACCTACTCCAACCACCATAACTTCTTTCCCTGCATTGGAGAGGTTGGTAATTTCGTTCTTCAAGGTTTTAGCAATAGATGTATGGATAGCACCACACAGACCTCGATCAGAGGACACACCAATAAGAAGGTGCTTCTTCTTATCCTCAGGTGCCTTTATTTCTGCTTTCTCATACAGAGCTAAAAAAAAAAAAAAAAAAGAAAAAAGATGGGTAAGTTATTCAAGGGTGCCAGGAAGCAAATAGGTCATATCAAAATACCTTTGACTTATTCTAACTAAAATTATTTCTAACAGGGTTCCAAATCTCAGCCAGATGAATTTTATCTCCCTCACAATCATTCAAGTTTGCGTGCAATCTGACCAGAGGTGACAAAGAAACAATTCAAAGCCAGACACATCTCTGCATTGGATATCACACCATCAGTGCTGTTACTTAGTTAAGTTCACTGTGTAAGGCCAGTGCCTCAGGAGCACGTGGAGCCCAAGAGTTCACTAGGAGATCTGGCAGTAGCTGCAGATGCTACAGAGATATGACACGATTCCATTAACAGACAGAAGCAGGCCAGAAATTCTGAGCTGAGGTGCTTTTATGACTAACAAAAACAACCACGCAACCACAAAAAGCTAAAAAAGTAATCAGAAATCATAATGAATTTCACACTAGAACTCTTTAAAATCACTTTCCATAAACCACTGATAAGGAATACTCAAGGTAGACTAGAAATGCCCATTCTTTTCGAAAAAACTACCAAACGGTTAAAAAAGTCTAGGCATTTTATCACCAGCATGAAAGCTTTCCTCTTCTGTTCCTACACCACACAGTGCGAGAGTCTTCTCTCACCCAGCGCTCCTGTTCCATAGATTCTAGCAGGCTTCAGCTCTCTCTCAGCTCTTGCGTATTTTGCTGCAGAAACCATCTTCATGGACTTTGTAATTTTCTGAATGTTCTTGATGGACTTCAAGCGCCTGGTAACTACAAGGTTAACAGTTGAAGGTCACGGGGCTATACTGGGCATAATGTCATCAAAACCAAGCAACAGAATGATAGTAACACCCATCCAAAAATATCGTGCCAAGTTCCTCAAAGAACAATAAATAAACAAACAAACAATGCACAAATAAACCTCATAAACAATCTTAGTATTTACAGTAAGAAAGTAGTAAGAGTAGTAACCTGGCTAACCCAAATGCATCTTTACAATAGGTATACTTTTTTCCTCCAGACATAACATTTCTTTATTATTTAGCCCAACATAAAATCTATTTATTATTCTCTTTCCTTCCACTTCTACCTGTTTCACAAATACATCATTTGAGATATATTGTCATCTTTTCCCAGATGACAAGGAGAGGAAATAAACAAACAAACAAAAAGACTGAATAATATGAAGACACAGAATAAACTTCCCCCTCTGTATACACTGTGGCAAAATGATATTCATAAAAATACTGATGCAAAAATAAAACAAAACAAAACAGGTGTCCTATAGACAAGTGCAATTCCAAGTCAATACCCCTGTATAAGAACCTATGAGGAATGGCTTGAAGAAGCATTATCAAAGTGGAACCATTCAGTCAACCTTTTTTCCCCAGATGCTGGATAACAGCACAAGGAAATAACCATAAAAGAGAACAATTTAATTGAGCAAAAACCTGATTTAATACATATGATAAGAGTTATTTTTTAAAATACGTTTGAGTAAAACTATATTGGTTTGCTGAAATGACATCTAAATTAGTGCTAAAACCATTTTAAGCAATGCATTTTCTGAAGGACACTTGCTTAATATAAGAAGTGCTGGAGGCTCATATATCAACATTATGGTGTATCTCAACCAATTCATCCAACAGAAGCTAACCAAAATTATATTTTAACATATGGTTTTCCTGCAGCACTTTCCCTCTTTCAAAAGTAAACAAAACCAGTACTTACTGTCTTTTAGAGTTGCCATATTCCTGACTTGGCCCCTGAAAATGAATGCAGGAGAAATTAGGATAGTTCACTAGTTCTCCAGCAAACCAACACCTGTCAAGGGCAGGTCCCTTTCAGAGGGGCGGAAATTTAAGAATTGCTGTTTCTTAAAAAGCATCTGTAGTAGGGACAAGCCACTCTAAACTATGCTTTGTATCCAGACCTTCCTCCCTTCTCATTATCTCCTGTCATGCTGTATATCATTTAATACATTACCCACTGCCTTAGATAATGGCACAATGTAAAGGAAGGCCAGACATCATGGGATCAGAAGGTTACAACTTTCAAAAACGATAACTGTTTTCAAAAAACGATTAAGGCAAAGCAAAGGAGGCGACACCATTTCCTGACAAGAGCAAAGTCTCCTTGCGCCGCCTGTCATCTACGAAGCTGTCCTTTTTACTCCTCTTGCCTCGCACATTGATACACCCTCCCGGCTGAGAGCCCT